ATTGCAAGCATATAAAGTAGTGAAAAGGATCTGAACATAATATTCAATGGTGTTGGGCTCTGGGCAATAACATATGGCTTAATTGACACCATATGGGCAAGAGTATAGATTAAAACAAAGGCGTAAACCACCAATGTACATCCACAGATGATAATCGTTATTTGACAATAACTGCATTCACCTAGTAAGTAACTAATGAGTAACAGGATTTAATAGTAACTATGGAGAGCAGGATTTTTCTCAAGGGTCAAGGAAAAGTCTATTTTATCCACATAGACCAGTTATATCCTTATTTGCATCACACAGGTAAAATCCAGGCAATAATTATATAAAACCAGCGGTGAATGTAATGAAACGCCATTTTCTAGAGGAGTCCCGGAGGCTCCCTGAAGCTAACCAAACTGATATGTGCTATATTAGTTTGGGGTCATCAGTCATGGCCTATGAGCACTTTACATTTAAAGTATGTCTTATTCTGCCATCGACCTGGGTGGGCACCCAGAAAGATAGGCGAACCAAAACAAACAAATAGCCAGTAAACTTGCTACCTACGACCCGAAAAGCAAAGAAACTCCTGCTGAAAGAAAAGAAGCTAACAGAAACTAGCAACCCTGCATGCAACTAGGTACTCCCACGCATTAGCGTAACCCCCTTTCCTCCGATACTTGCCATCGACTGGGGAAGGACCCCGAAAAATAGGCGAAGCAAAACAGACCACTCTGATGTTAACCTGTGCAATCTGCATCCTAAAAGATAAAATTAACTCCCCTAGAAAGAAACAAAAAATGCAACATTCCATGTAACTAGCACTCCCGCTTGTCAGTCCCCCCCTCCCATAGGGGGGAAGGGGAAGCCGGCAGCCCACCACTCCAGTTCTTGAACGATGAAAAAAATGCCGACCAGAGGGAGGGTATCAGAGAACCTCCAGGGCTCACCCAGAAAATGACATTTCATTACATTCAATGATGGTTTTCTGTGGGGAGCCCCATCGGCTCCCTGAAGCTAACTATCCAAAGATAAAAAGAGGGACATACCTGGGAGGTGGCAGCACTGCAGGTCTCAAGACAAGGAAGAGACAGACGGCTGCGACAAGAGCCCCAGCCACACATGGAACCGTAATGTTCACGAGATACCTGGCAGTCAGCACCCTGTTTGACCTCAAAAACCCCAGCACCTGAATGGCAACCCAAGACATGTTGCCAAAACCCACTGCAAGAGCTGCATACTTCCTAATATCACGGGCACGAGGGGTACCTGCTTGATACCTGCTTGATGGGGTTCTGGGAGTTCTTCTACTCCCCAAGCCTGGCCCAAGGCCAGACTTGACTTGTGAGAACTTGGTCCACCAGGCTGTTGCTTGGAGCGGCCCGCAGGCCCACATACCAACCACAGCCCGATTGGTCCGGCACTTTTTTTTCAGAAAACATTCTAGTTTTCTCTTGAAGATGTCCACGGTTGTTCCGGCAATATTTCTTATATTTAAACTGCAGGCTAGCTAGACTTTATGACACTGGACAACCTGAGATGCATAAGCCCTGGAACAGGGAACCAGAAAAACCAGATCAACCCAAAGAGCATCCACCGGCACAGAACCAGTGGCCCGCAGGTAGCATACCTGGAGCATACCTGGAGGGGGCTCTGGGAGTTCTTCTACTCCCTGAGCCCACCAGGCTCGACGTGTGATAACTCGGTCCAACAGGCCGTTGCTTGGCGAGGCCCACAGGCCAACATATCCACTACAGCCTAGTTGGTCTGGCACTTCTTGCAAGAACTTATCTAATTGCCTCTTTAATACATCCACCTTTGTTCCAGTAATATTTCTAATGCTTGCTGGGAGGGTGTTGAACAGCTGTGGGCCCCTGATGTTAAGACAGTACTCTCTGATTGCGCCTATGGCACCTCTACTCTTCACTGGTTCTATTCTGCATTTCCTTCTGTATCTTTTGTTCCAGTATGTTATTATTCTACTGTGCAAATTTGGTACCAGGCCTTCAAGTATTTTTCCATGTATATATTATTTGATTCCTTTCTCATCTCCTTTCCAAAGAGTACATTTTGAGAGCTTTGAGACAGTCCCAATAATTTAATGTTTTATTATTTCTATACGTGCAGTATATGTTCTATGTATTCCCTCCAATTCAGAGATATCTCCCGCTCTGAAATGGGAAAGCGAGTACCAAGCAATACTCAATACGGGACAGCACCAGTGATTTAAATAGTATTTGCATTGCTGTTGGGTCTGGATTTGAACGTTCTCATAATTCATCCTACCTGTATCGTTTTCCTGGCCACTGCTATATATGCTCGGTTATGTTCACTGAATGTCAGGTCATCAGACATCATAATTTCCAGATCTTTTACATGTTGCTTTCTTTCTATAATTGTGTCTGATCTCTGTCCTGTACCCTATGTTTTATTTAACTTCCTCATTTCCACTATACCTACGTACTGTACTTGGAACTTGTCCCCATTGAACATCATGTTAATTTAAGTTGGCCAATCGAAGACCTTATTAATATCTGCCTGCAGTTTTTCAGTGTCTTCTTCAGAGGAAATTTTCATGCTGATTTTTGTATCACCTGCAAAGTATGACACGAAGCTGTGACTAGCATTTTTGTCTATATCAGAGATAAAAATGAGAAATAGTAGAGGTGCAAGGACTGTGCCCTGGGGTACAGAGCCTTTCACTGCACTTGGACTTGATCTTATTTGATTGACTATCTCACTCTGCATTCTGTTTGACAAATTTGATAATCCAATGCCCCACTTTTCCTGTTATTCCTATTGATCTCATTTTATGGGCTATCACTCCATGGTCACATTTGTCAAATGCCTTTGCAAAGTCTGTGTATACAACATCTGCATTGTGCTTTTTTTCTAAGGCTTCTGTGATTTTGTCATAGTGGTTGAGTAACTGAAAAACAGGATCTTCCCGCTCAAAATCCATGTTGTCCTGTGTTGTGTAGTTCATTATTTTCCATAAAACTAGAAATCCGATTCCTTATCACTCTTTTAGAAACTTTTACTATGTGCGATGAACAAGAAATGCACGAGAAAACGTCCAGAAATGAGCGGAAGTAACATCCACCTCGAACGCAAGCTGCAGTGGCTCTGCCAACGCTGTGCAATAAGAAGCGACACTATTGGGGCACGAAATATCGATCCAGGAAAAGTCAAGAGAGAGAGCACAAACAACCAGGTCCAAAATCGACGAAAACCGGTGAAGAGAAAGAAAACGACAAAGACCGCCAAGAAACACTGAGAAAACACAGGTGGGACACCATCAAAGTAACCACATGATCATACAAATAGAGATACACACGCGTCAGAAAGACCTGACAAACAGTGTGGAACAGCACCGCAAACCAGCAAGGTACCTCACTGGCCTGATCTGCTGAAAGAGGGAAAGCCGCTGAAAAACGCTCCGATTCGGACACCGAGCAAGCAGTACAGTACCTGAAACCAAAGCTAGGCCGGTGAACATGGAGCCAGGAGAACCACTCTTCCCTGATATGAATCCAGCAAAGCAAGAACTCAAAGCAACAGCTGGACCAGGGAAAAAGAGGTACAGGAACCCCACCTCGACCAGTCCTGCCAAAAAGTGTCTACAGCGCCACACACAATGGGAGACACCGAAACCACTCCAACACAAAGAAATCCCCCTCTGGAAGCCTGTACATCTCACAAAGCCAAAGAAGGAGGCGGCATCGACCATCCACTCTGTGGTAAGAGGAATGAAACATGACAGGCCGTCTGCCAGGACGTTGGACACCCTAAATGTGAATGGCATGGAGAGCGAAACTTACTACCCTGTGGCTTCACTAGGCCACCCCTGGCTGGCCCGGTGAGCGCTGGTCACAAAGTCCCCAACCGAGAGACAGGGTATCCATGAACACATCGAGCAAGGCGAGAGGAAGGCGCCAGGGCACGAAACCTCAAGAGGTTTGAGGAAGAAAACAGCCTCTGAAGCCAAACTCTGCCCAGGAGATAAACCAGCAGGGCAAAGTTCAGGCTCCCGCACAGCTGCTCGAGCAACAGTCGAGTGACTGACCGAATTACTGACCCTGCCTAGGATGTAACCCCACATCAAGCTGACTAACTCCCGAGTACCTACTCACTGCTAGGTGAACAGGAGCATTGGGCAAAAGGAAATGTGCACAACCATTTCTGTCCAGCCCGGGATTCGAACCCCGAATTATCGATTATGCGTAGAGAACAAACCCGATTGTACTACCGGGACCCTAAACTTTAAATAATTACCTAAACTTAAAAATAAATATTTATTTATTTATTTATTTATTTATTTATTTATTTATTTATTTATTTATGCATATACAAGAATGTACATTGGGAATGTGAGGATACATAATATGGTAATTACAGTCTTGTAAAGCCACTAGTACGCACAGCATTTCGGGCAGGTCCTTAATCTAAGAAAATTTTAAGGAGGTAAATACTTGCAAAATTTATAGACAAAAAAATGATAACAGTTACATGGAATGAAAAAAAGAAGATGAGAGAAAATTGTAGGTACAGTATATTAAAGCACATAGGTAGCCAAGAATGATTGCAATGACAGCTTGAATGGTAGTTGACAAAAATTGGTAGTCACAATACAGCATATGGCTAGCACATAATAGAAGACAGCAATGAACACAATGATAAGGTTGTTTGATACTACATAAAAATTAGATTGGGTAACACTAGGTACAGAGCAAATTTAAAGCTCAGTGTAGGAAACTAAGAAGATGAAATTAGGTACTTTTTGGTTTTGCTTTTAAATAAGGCAAAAGTTTTAGTTTTTAAATTCAATATAATCTTGATACCAACTGATCCTCATCATAACAGCCTCTTCAAAGGGTTAGGTGGCAAGGGTGTTGGTATGATTTGTAGGTGCTATCAAGACTACTTTGATTTAGACTCTGCATCAACTACAACTTATACCAATACCCTCCTCATCAAAAAGTAATTCTTTAAGGAATGCAAAAAATTGTAGTTACAGGCCAAACTCCCTTAGGAAGCCGTTGATGTAGCCTCTGTCCTCCTTGCGGCACACACGCGGCGTCATCACAGTATAATGGTGGTTTAAGGTTGAAAAATGTTTCTAGCTGTCAATGCCCGTCAGCGGCCATCAGCGAATGTCAACACCTCTCTGCATCTGTCAGCTCATGTCTGTACTCATCAGCATCTCTCAGTTCCACTCTATACCAATCAGTATCCGTCTGCACCTTTCTATAGACTTTGGCAAATGTCTACAAACGTCAGCATGTCTAGTCACGTCAAGAGTCTTTCAGCGCCCATCACTGCCTATCTATAGCGTCCGTCTGCACTTGTCTACAGTAGTTAGCATTCTTATGCACCTATCTACTGCAGTTAGCGTCCATCTGTACCCGTTAACAAACCAATAGACTCTGTCAACGACCGTCAGCACCGTCACCGACCGCCTCAGTAAGTATCCGTCACCGACCGCGTCAGTCAGCGGCGTCAACAACACCTCAACAGCTGATCATTTGTAAACACTCAAAGGAGAACCTAAAACTATAGACTAAAAATATTTATCTTTATGTGAAATGTTTTATAAATATAAATATACGTTTTATATTATTTTGTATACCATTTTTAGTAATTATTTTGTATTTAGGACTAATTCAGTAATTGCAATTTAATCAACAATACCGGTCCTTTTAATTAATGAAGCTATATACGTGCTTTAAATTGAACTTACTTATGCTTTAATTTTGGAAATTACGACCACTGAATTTATAAAATAATAATAAGTATTATTTACTAAATTTTGTTATGTATTTGATTGCGATGTAGGCAACAAATCGATACAAATTTCGCCAGAAACAAATTCTTGTCATTTTATGTTTATGTTCGTTATTTGCTGCTTTTATGTGATATTGATCAGTTGAAAAAATACTATTGATCCTAATCTAGTGTTCTGTTGTTGCTATATACACACACTGTATTCTGTATTTGAAATAATGCAGTTTTTAGATTTTACAATAATCTTGTAAAATTGTTCTGTATCAATTGCTGCCTTAATAACTGACATACCTGTGAGTCTATTATACACAGATAATTACAATGTACTCACCTCTCGCACCTGTCGTGGTGATAAGCTGGGGCTATGAAGCGGCTAAATTCACTGAAGACATCAGTGATGTGAGAGAGTATTTGCCTCATCTTAAACACGAAGCTTGCTCTTGGAGTGTGGTAGGTGTAGCCAAAATTATCTCCCATTTTGGTATTTCCGACTATTGCTTCATTCAATTGCAAATTCTATTAAAATGACCAACTATTTGTAATTAAGTATTGCCGTCAAGTATAAGATATTTTCCGAAATGCACTTTTTCACATTCCAGTTCGAAATATTTGTATTTGGCTAGGAACGACGCATAGCCAGTCAGTGTTAGCATTATGAGGCAGAATTAAGGTAGTTTTCCTCGACTCCTTCAAGGCAGTTAACATCTGTGGAGAGACACCAGGGAACTCTGCAGCCGAGAAGTACGACATTTTCCTCGCTCATAATTTACATTTAAACAGAACACATATATGCACTTTATTCTTAAAATTCTCGCCAAAACGGCTTTCTAGAGATATATAGAAGGTTTCTAAAAAAATTTAAGAAATATATGATCTTTTTTCGAGGAATAAATAAGAGAAAATCAGTGGTTGTGTGTCTGGCAGCGAGGTAGAAATGGCGCCACGTATTGATTGACTGTTCGTCACATGGGAATGACTGTGAACTAAATATAATATATATACTCCCGGGTGTATATAATATCTATACTCCCAGGTTATATAATATATATACTCCTGGGTGTATATAATACATAAGGCTCTCCGGGTGCGGCATATCCTCTTCTTCGAGGCTTGAGGATCCCTTCAAACTACAGGAGGTGGTGCTGCTGCTCAAAAATTGTGCTCAACTGGTACATTTGTACTGTGCAAAAACAAAAAAAAATGGTCAACCTACTCATGAAAAACTCCCCACACACCAAACAGAATGCCCTGAAGGAAACAAACGGCGTCTATGCCTTCACATGCCCGCTTGGGGATTGTAAGCCCCCAAAGAACTCAGTATATAGACAAGACAACAACGTCTCTTTCTAGGCGATTAACTATGTACAAACAACAGGGCTCCATCAAGGAACATATAATCTCTTTCTGGCTATAAGGAAACACGCAATGCATGGGGACTTTTAATAATAATTTTTTTTTATATAAGTACAATACAAAAATGTAATTTGATAGACTAAGTAACAGTTGTAAATTTAATAGGTAAGTAACAGTTGTAAATTTAATAGACTAAATAACAATTCTAAATTTAATAGTCTTAGTAAGTTGTAAATTTAATAGACTAACATTTGTAATTTAATAGACTATAAGTAATGTGCAGACTACTTACAATTCAGATACAAGTAGACGTATATAAAAAGTTATATGACAAGACTAATAATATGACTTGTAACTTACATAAAGAAAACAATAGTAATTAACAGAGTAGACGAAGTACGTAACGGTTTAAGACCGTAGGGTTAGTACCAAAGCGTTTATACCAATTGTAAGATAAAGTCATTAAAATAAATACATGAATTAAGATCGTAAAGTTTGTACAAAAAAAATTGTAACATAAAAGTAAGGTTTAGTTTAGTTCATGTATTATGCACCCCATACCCATCTTGTGGGCAGTAGTGGAAAGGGTTACAGAGGCACATAATGGGCTCAGGGACTGAACCCCACAGTTCATTTAGCTAAGCAAGTTACAATCTTGATGAGCTAGTTACAAAATTCAATATAATTCAAAAATTCAAAATTCTTGCAAATGATATTCCATCTTCCAGTACTGATGTTAAGGACTATCTTACAGGTAACTATCCACAGTCTCTGTACCTAAAGCCTACAAATTCCACTGATGTTAATGAGATAATCCTTTCCCTTAAAACCAAGTCTAGTGCCCTTAAGGAGATACCAACTTTAATTTACAAAAAAGCCTCCAGATCTTTAGCCCCTGCTATTGCATTGCTCCTCAACAAGTCACTTGAACTCCAAACCTTTCCAGATATTCTAAAAAAAAAGCGAGAGTAACCCCTGTCCACAAATGTGGTGATCTCACAGATGTTAACAACTACATACCTATATCAATCCTGCCTAACTTGTCAAAAATATTTGAAAAACGAATCTACAAGCAGCTTTACTCTTATCTAGCCAAACACAATATATTTAGCTCTTGTCAATATGGCTTCAGACCCAAAAAAAAGCACTAACGATGCACTTATTAGTATGAATAACTTAATTCATGCAGCTCTTGATAAAAAGGAGTTCCCTGTTGGGTTATTTGTGGACCTGCGTAAGGCATTTAACACTGTCAACCACCAAAACCTTCTTCTTAAATTACATCATTATGGAGTCAGAGGACACTTCCTGCAATACCTCAAATCTTACCTTACTGACAGGCTCCAGTATGTTTCTGTGAATAATTCAATTTCTCCCACCCTACCCATCAACATTGGTGTTCCTCAGGGCAGCATACTTGGCCCTCTCCTCTTTCTCATCTACATTAATGACCTTCCAAATGCTTCCCAACCCCTCAAACCAATTCTATTTGCTGACGACACAACCTACATTTACTCCAGTCCTGACCCCCTTGCTCTAAATGTCACAGTAAATACTGAGCTAAATAAAGTCCATCTTTGGCTAACTGCCAACAAACTCACCCTTAACACTGACGAAACTTTCTATATTCTGTTTGGCAATAAATCCTCTAATCAAATAAATCTCAGGATAAATAATACCCAAATTTGTAACAAAGTAGATGGCAAATTCCTTGGCATTCTCATTGACCAGCAAGCTGAATTTCCAGGGACACATTCTAAATATATAAAAAAAAAATTAAAAAATTGTTGGCATTCTTTCTAAGATCAGATATTATGTACCACGCCCTGCCCTGGTGACTCTCTATTACTCTCTCATCTATCCATATCTCAACAACGACTTAATCAAACTATATCAAAAAAAGTTTCAAAAACTGTGGGCATTCTTTCTAAGATCAGATATTATGTACCACGCCCTGCCCTGGTGACTCTCTATTACTCCTTTATCTATCCATATCTCAACTATGGTATTTGTGCTTGGGGCTCTACTACCCAAAATCACTTACGTCCTCTAATTACTCAACACAAAGCTGCTATTAGGACAATATCCAATTCTGGCCCCAGACATCACTCGGTACCCCTACTCAAATCTCTGAAGATGTTAGACATTAAGTCACTGCACATTCTCTCATGTGTATTATACATATATAAAACGCTAAACTATAATGCCAATCCTGATCTCAAAAGCTTCATAGAAGGTTGTAACAGAACCCATGAGCACCACACCAGGAATAAATACAGTTTTGATATTCCTAGAGTACGACTTAATCAAACTAGAAATGCTCTACAAATCAAGGGACCCAGAATGTGGAATGACCAACCATGTTAAAGACTGTACCTCTCTGAACCAGTTTAAGATAAAAACGAAGCTTTACCTAATAAATTCCCTGTAACCTACCTTACCCCTCTATTGTCAACCAATGTCTGTTTTTTTTAAAGAGCGCTGTTTGTCGACAGAATTGTATTTGTGCTGCTTTTTCAGCTATGTTCTTTTTTTTTTTTGAGATATATACAAGAGTTGTTACATTCTTGTACAGCCACTAGTACGCGTAGCGTTTCGGGCAGGTCCCTGGAATACGATCCCCTGCCGCGAAGAATCGTTTTAAATCGTTTTCTCATTTCTTGTTTTCATTTTACTCTTTATGCTCAATTAGTATTAAGCTTTAGTCATTTAAGTTTTTCATGCCCGAAACGCTTTGCGTAATAGTGGCTTTAGGCATTGTATGTACTAGCTTTATCTATAAGTCCACCAATCTTTGTAAAAATCTCTTGCATGTATGTACCTTACCTAAATAAACATTTATTTATTTATTTAACATAACTAGAAATGCTTTACAAATCAAGGGACCCAGAATGTGGAATGACCTTCCCAATCATGTTAAAGACTGTATCTCTCTCAACCAGTTTAAGATAAAAACTAAACACTACCTAATAAATTCCCTGTAACCTACCTTACCCCTCCCTATATTGTCAACCCATGTCTGTTTTTTTAAACAGCGCTGTTTATCGACCTAATTGTATTTGTGCTGCTTTTTCTGCCATGTTCCCCCTTTTTTTTTATTTGTTCTCAACACATTTTAAACTTTAATCTCAATTAGTATTAAGTTTTAGTCTTTAATGTTTTTCTGTGGTTGGAAGAAAACGCTCACAGAGTGGGGGACTTATTTTATTTTATAATAATAATAATAATTAATTATTTAAATACAAATAATTAATTAATAATAATAGTCATAATTAATGATTAAATAATTGATAATCCTTAAATGAAGAAGCATAATAGCTCATTATAACGAATAAATAGATAATTAAAGTGGAATTAATTATGGTGACTATAATGATTAGTGAATAACCATAAATTATTATACAGAAA